ACAGCAATGCTCGCGACTCGCGTGCGGGTGAGCTCTTGAAACGTAAAAGTTTAAAGTTGAAACCAACAATAATTAAAAAAAAGGGGTGCGAACTGATAAGTGAAACAAACATTTTCATGGAGTGCAAGCTAAAATGGTGTAACGGTCATTGAGGAGTGGAGTGTTGGGTGATATGAATGACTTGGGTGCCACCTGTCATTGGAGGCTTTTCACTGGACGGACGGGGGAGGTCGGAGAAGAGGGGAGGTGGCCATCCGCAAGGGGAAAAATCTGATAAGTTTTACTTTAAGAGTATGCATGACCTGATACAAATCTGCAATATAAATACATATATATATATAGATCCCAGTAAGCATTTTCCGTTATTTGTCACCATTAACATTGCTCGTATTCATTTCATTAAACATAACATTTATTTTACTTGAAAATGTTAAAATGACTTTAAAATATGATTATGTTAAGAACATATTTTACTCTTTAAACAATTGTTTTGTTTTTAATTACTATCATTGCAAAATTGTATTAAAAAGTGTTAAAACTCTTACACGGGCAATGTTGGTGGTGAAAGGTATCGTTAAAGTGTTTATTGGGATATCTTTAAAACCTAAGAAGGGCACGCAGCGTGGGGCAATAAGTCTGTCAACAGCAAATGCGTAAGGCGGTCCCAATCGAGCCGGAAAATAAACACTGGACTGACAGAGTAAACTAACATTGAACAAAATTCTAACACATTAAAAAAAAGGGCCTAATAGCCAAACTCGAGTTTGTAAACATTAGACAACAGATTAATCGCGCTTGTGATTTGTTTGACTAGTGAATAAATGCAATGCTTTGGAATTTGATAAACAAAGACGGAACTCTACCACAAAACGTGCTTGGGACAAAAATTATTAAAAACAACTGACACACTTTACCAAGGGCAGGAACTATCTGACCAGGACACGGACAATGACAATAACGAACAAGACAAAGACATCGACTAGGAAACTACACCCCTGCAGCGAAATAACAACTCCCCAACTCCAAATAGTGATCCCAAATGTTTGGAGTAATACTAATCGACTGGTCTAGGGGGATTCCGCGTCGTACTTAGTTTTAAGTCGGCGTAATTGTCCCCCAAAAACCAACTCCCTCCCGTCCCTCATCCATACCCCACCGAGCGTATAGCATAGGCTCGGCGAACCCGGGAATGGCTATTATAACTATTCGCCTCTCGCTCTCGAGCCCCAAATAGGGGACAGTACGTAACGCAATGGACATTCGCACCCAGCAAACACGGGTGAAGCCGTGCAGTTGCTGGGGAAGAACAAAAATCGGCGTAAGTAAACATAGGCCTGTACGGGGTTCGAGAGTCAAGAGGAAATGGGGCTGGTTATACGTCTCTTATACTCATACTCATACTCATACTCGATCAATTTTATTAAATATTCCTTAGCAAATAATGTTAGTGTAGCAATCGCTTATAACGAACCGTAATAAACCATGAACGATGGTTCGCTGTTTGTTATTTTAGGAAAAATAAACAAATTTCATATAAGTAGTTTGGTTCGTAGATATTATTTGAGTTGGTTCGTTTAACCGAAAGTTCGCTTTACCAGGTTCGTAATAAGCGGACATATGTATACTTTATATTAAAAAATGCACTTTTCAAATTCATGGATGTATGCTTACACTCAAAGAAAAAATTAATTTTTTCCGTTCATTTACCATTTAATTTATCTTAAATTTTTAATAAAATTCGGTCTATTTATTAATAACTAAATTTTTATATTATAATATCAAAATCAAAATTTATTAAAACATTAAAATATGTACTATTTTCCACATAAAAAAAATTAACTGGCATTTAAATAAGGAATTCATTTAAATAATTGAGGTTATGTTGCTCAAATTAATGTTTATTTCTTCTTATTTTCTGAAAATAATTGTATTTTTCTTTGTCTAAAGGTCTTAATTAGTATAGTAAATTATTTTTTCATGGTATTCAGGGTTGCTATGATTTGTGCATATTTGTAGTAACATATTAATATTCTATCAACGACAACCGCCATTATATTTAAATTTGCCGCGTACTCCTGTGTAAACCTGTCTCGTTTAGCAGCGACATCTACTTTATTCTTAAATGGAATGTACTATAGACTTTAGTACATCAGAGATGCGCACAAGATGCGAGAGATTACTATTCTAAGGATGCTGGAGGCGGACGTTCACTCTAGATGATGCGCACAAGATGCGAAATAATTGCGATTTTGCGAATTTAATTCACTACCTACCTTACCACCGTCTAATGTAATAGTAATAAAACAGGGCTTTTATTATGCCACACAAAAAACAACAAATAAATTGAGGCAAACCTTAATATTAATATTAAGGCCTCAAATAGGCGCCAACATTTTTGTTTTTTAATGTACTATTAATTTTTCAACACCATTAGAAAAAAAATAATTGTTTTCTTAAAAATAATAATAATAAAATATAAACAAATTATAAAAAATATTATTCTTTGATTTAAATATTATATATAAACAATATTATAAAAACTAATCAGAAGCACTAACTAAAATATAACACATTCTTTGGCTTATATAAACAATAGGTAGGTTCTAAGAAAAACTAATTAAAAAATAAAAGTTTAACATTTCGTTTCATTAAACTAATAAAAACTAATCAAAAGTTATAAATAAATAAAACATTATTCTTCGTTTTAAATAAATATTGAAAAATACTATTACTAATAATTAAAAGGTTGTTTTTAAATCTTTATAGTAGCAAATTGTTTTATAACACAATTTACATTTATTTCATCTAGCATGCTGCAGGTCTTGATTAATGGACAGAATTGCTAAGGAGTTAGTAAACTTTTTTGGGGAATTGTATTTCTTAGGTAGTTCTTTACCCTTTTTAGAGTAGAGAAAGATCGTTCACCACTTGCATTTGAAACCATTATGAACCAAAAATACGCAGATAAATATTAATATTCGGAAATGAAGATATTAATTTATTTTCTTATAAAACTTTTACTAATTCCAATGGAGTTTCTATTTTTATTTCTGGAAAGGGAAGTTACCAGTTTCTTGAGATGGAAACATTTTTAAGGAAAAAACTCATCCAAATCCTCCACGAAGATTTATGCTTTTAGATTAAACAAAAATTAATTTTTTTTGTGCCAGATTTGTAGCTATCAGATCGACAATTAATTTCGGATTAAAGATTGTCAATTATTAAAATAAAACATTTTGTTCACATTGTTTTCTTTGCTTAAACTTACCTCTGAATTATTTTCTTCAAATTGTAATTTTTTTTATAATTATCCGCTTCTGAGAATAATTTTCGTTTTCTGTTAATTTCCTCGTAATGATCAAACGATCACGTAAAAAATCAAAGTTCTCAACTAAAAATGACAAAAGATGAGCAGTTGTGCTTAAATCCATATTTTGTTTTTAAACTGCTTTTTTGGTTTCATTAACCCTTTGCAAAACGTCTATCCAAAAAGTTAAAATTATTCCGTTTCCAATAAATCAAGTTTTTCTGACAGAGAAGCTGGTTCAACTCTAACAACATATTTCTCATTTGTATCCGTTGTATCCGGCTCGCACGCTTTCTTTGCCTTTGTGATCCGCCGACGCAGTGTCTCAATAATTTTTTTTTCTGAGCAATTGCTAATAATTAAGTAATTTTTTATGGTGTATTTTAAAAAAATTATGGGCGGTACGTGGTCCTGCGGACTCGTGAAATCTGCAGCTCGGTTTCAATTCGAAAATATCATCGATGATAATCATACCACTTGTTATATTATGGGTGATATTATTCTTGCAATCATGATCCTGTACATTTTAATTCAATTTGCTCAGTGGCGACGAGTTTATAAGGATTTGTTTAAAATCTTGTTAAAGTGAATTTAAAATTAAATTATTTTAAAAACTATTTCAAAAATCATCACGAAATTTTAACAAAAATTTTATATATTAATAATCTTGATTCTGTAAAAATTTTAATTTACTGGTTCACCAAAATAAAAAAATCTAGTCAAAGTATATTAAAAAATACATTATTTTGTATACTATTTAATTTAATACATGTATTTTTTTTTCCTTTTTGTAACTTTGACACTGCTTAAACATTTGTTATAAGCAATAAACTAAACTAAACTAAACTAAACTATCATTATTAAATTTTAACACATGTTTTCTGTTTTGTGATTCTGTACAAATTTTAATTTAATTAAATCAGTAGTGGCCAAAATATACTGGTTAAACCTACAAGCACCAACCACAGGTAATTAATTAGATTTAATATCCTGGTATCTTGATGGATTATTTTCTAATACTTATTTCTATCTTGTTTAATAATTCATTAATTGTGTATTTTAACACAAGTATTCAAGTAAAAAGCAAATCATTTTATTATTCCTATTACCTTAACTAAAAATTTGGAATTACCTGAATAAAATAAAAATCTAACACTGGCTTTTGGATAATTGCATATGGAAAATTAGCTATAATAATACATATTAAAAATATCAACACACAATAATCCCCAGATCTTTTTTCCTCCAAGGATAAAATTTTCCATTCTAATTTTTTAGTAAAATTTGCAATCGGGCCACAATGCATTTTACAAAAAATGTTCGTAAGCCAAAGGACGTTGGAACGCAAGTGTTACATAAATATTATATATTTTTAAATATTATTTTCATAAGAGATCCACCAAATTATTTTTGGTGCGAAGCTACCAGATAAAATCACAAAATAAAAATAAGTTAGTTTTTTTGCCACAAATACGTAAATATTAATCCAATAAACTGACAATGCTTATACTAGTTATTGAAATAAAAAAATTAATATATTAATTAATATAGATAATTGTTTTTATTTCAATAACTGGTATAATATTTTAATTATAATTAAAATATAAATATACAAATACCACTGGTGGAATAGTGCTGTAGCAATTAATGGCGATTAATTTGTATATAAATTAATTTGCCTAAGGAATGACCTGTAGTCTAAAAATTTAGCTGGACTAAAGATTATCAAAATGTTAACCAACTATTTATATTTTATATCGGCTTTAATGATTGTTTGTGGCCATTTAATCCAGAAAGACGAAGGCGAGCTCGTACAACTCAGTATTGTAAGTAGGTACCTACTTTATTAATTTAAACTCACCATTTAAAAATTAGCTATTTTTCTTTTTATTAAAATTGAATTGTAATAATTTTAACTATACAGGGTTTTCTAAAAAAACTTTTCTTTAATTATGTACCTTACATATACAAGATTCTAGTATATTAAAACTCGGTGATGTTTCCTATAACTCCCTAAAGTTTTTAATGCATCTCCTAATTAAATCCATAAAATTATAAATTGGATATTGCAAGTGATACATTATTTAAAAAGTCTTTTTACGGCGAGTAAGAAAGCTGTGTAAATCTATTCACTATACCTAAAGCTTAACTGAGTTATTTATTCGCATATAAAAAACGTAGACTACAATCTCAAATTTAAAGTTACTTTTTTTATCTTACATTGTCACATTTTAACTATTCACGTTCAGTATTTCACAATTTTTATTATTTCTGTGTCCCAAAATATAACATAATTGTTTAACTATTTCACACTCAGTGGCGGTCTGTCAGCGGAGGCAGTGCCTCCCCATAGAAAACTAAAGAAATAAATATAAGTTAATATTAAAATTCAATAGTTGGTTTACATAGATTATAAAATATTCAATAAATTTCATTGATTTTATAGCCTGCAACATTTAAATTATTCGATTATACCTTAATTTGTACTTGATAAACGTATTGCTCTTAGGCATGCCTCTAGATACTAGAATCTAGAGTTTAGATAGCTGTGATTGGTTGGAGGCATGTCTCTGGCAACACGTACTCCTTTTGTAATTGTATTATTAAAATAAATTTGGTGCTCCATGTGAATTTTACGGTGAGAAATGGTACCGAGATTGTTGATTTCCTTTGGGGACATCCCAGTGGCGGCTCGTCAGGGTAGGCCTCTGAGGCCGCGCCTCACCCTTAAAATGAAGGAACGAACGACTTTTTGTATTTAGATTTTTGTCTATTACAAGTGGATTTTTACAACAGTTCTACCCAATAAAAAGTAAAAAACCAATCAATCATACTAAGGGTACATAAAAATCCAGGCGCAAAGCGCGTCAAGGTAACGTGTATCGTTGAGAGTCCCTAGGAAAGAGGCGAAATTTTCACAGCCTCGAAAGTTTCCATTTACCTCTAGAAAGCGAAAATAACTCACCAACAAAAATACCGCCGGAAGTTCGCGAATAAATTCCTTAGATTCAGTCGTAGATGAGGCGAAATTTAGTTAGCTTGTCTTGTTCTGATTGGTGGTTTTATCACATGACCGATGATCGCTTTTGGGGGTCAGTCTATGGTGGGATGCCCGTCACAGAACAAACCCTGATACAGATCTTTGTATCATGTTTTCTTTGTATCATGGAACAAACCATGATGCCAGTGTTGTCTTAGCGTTTGTAGAGCACGTTATTGTTTTGATTCAGATTAAATTATTTAAAACTTTTGGCAGATCTTTTATAGTTTTTGTCTCGATTAGTAAAATTTCTTATTTAATTATTGTGGGGAACACACTAAGGTAGATTTAGCAGTTTTTATTAAGCAAATTTTATATTTTGAAATAATAGATTGCATAATTCTTCAATTAGAGACGCGGTTTAAAAATTTAAATATCATAAGTTTTCTTGCTTTAGTTGATAGCACAAAATATTCGGAATATGCAAAATGCTTTCCAGACAACTTACTTAGAGTTTATTAAAAAGTTATCCAAATATTTTTGATTTTAGATATGTTGTTTAAAAATTTCAAGACAATTTTTGTGGAAGCAATTTTAACTATCCCTGCAAGAAGTGTATCTGCCGAACGAAACTTTTCATGTCTTAAACGAATTAAAACCATTGACTACTTCTTAAATCAACGTTAAAACCTACCTTAGGAACACAATGACACAAGAACGGCTTTCAAGCTTAGCAACGATGTCAATAGAAGAAGAATTACTTTTAAATCTCACTGAAGACCCACAATTTTACGACCAAATAATAGATAAATTTGCAAACTTATAAGATAGACGTATAGATTTAATTTACAAACAGTAGCTGTAGTATTTTATATTTTTTAATACTTAGGTAGGGGTCGACTTTTTAATTGTATTTTTATTTTTGGATTAATTTATTTATTTTTTATTTTTTTAAGAATATATTTTTAAGTTTTAAGATTAAAACTAGTCTTTGATGTGATATTTTGTTTGTTTTGTTTTTTAGAGTTTATTGTTTATTTATAATGGTTTAGTAGGGCTATCGGCGATGACCTCCATTTTAAAAAAGGTCAACGCGTCGCAGAATAATACCTCCCGGGTCACGTACAATTTATTCGTATTTAGACAAAATTAACCTTATGTAGCCTCACCCTCCTGTACACCCACGAGCCACCACTGGGACATCCATTAATTAAGTGAGGTATTTTTCTGCTAATTTGGTACCCCCTTCCCCTTGGTGAGATTTGGTGAGATGTGGTAGATCCCCCTATCGCTCATGTGAGATTAAAGCCATGAAAATTTCTTTCCGGACAACATGATAAACCCCAAAAATTTACAACATTTATTATAATAAGTATTCTTTAAACCCAAAAGTTGACGTAAGATTTGCAATGACCCCCCCCTAAAAATAGATTTTGTGAGATTTTCCCCTCTCCCTTTTTTAACTCACGTAATTAATGGATGTCCCCTTTTAAATGTTTCATTTAGTCGTTTTTATTTTGATGATAAAATATTTGTTAAGGAATTTGGTGTCCCTCCTCCAAATTTAAGTAATTTATTAATTAATCCCGGTATACCTGGTCGTGCTTTTGTTAATACGTGGTATACAAATGTGTATGTTTAATGTAATCTCCTTTGTATAAAAAACTGTACTGTTGGCACTATATTTTATTTTTGAATTATAAAAAAGAGGTCTGGCGAAAAATATTGTTTTGCAAATTAAAAAATCTGTCTCATTCCGTTGAAATGCATTCAAAGTCAACACAACATAAATATAAGATGCTTTTAATACCTATGCTGACAGATGTGGTGAATTCGCTAATTCGACATTTCCAAAAATGTGTTAAAACTGAGGGGTAACACTTTGAGCTTCTTCTTTATTCTTCTGTTAAAAATTAAATAAAGTAAAATACAATTAAATTAAATAGGCTAAAGTATTTCTTTTATTGCTTTTGTCGCGTCCTGAAACCTCGATATTTCGTTATGTAAGGCCTTAATTTAATAACTATGAAAACTAGACTTGTTCGAAATTAAACTAAGATTTAAAAAAATTCTGAAAAAGTTCGAAATAGTCAGTGGCGAACTTTTTTTTATATTTTGATATGACACCTTTGCACGCCACATGTGTGTTAAATTACAACAGTTTATATGCTTTACCATAGTAGTAGTAGTCGTATTTACCATAGGTTAAAACAGAATCACCCTGTATAGGTAATATTTTGGTTCTTTACAAAATATTTTATACACAATATTTTAGAGTTCTATGTAACCTAACTTTGAAAAATTTATAGATCATCTATGTGATATATTTTAGCTTACAAATTATATTATTAAATTTTATTTAAGATATTCAGACATGGAGCAAGGACAACAGATAATTTTTATCCCAATGATCCTCATAAGAATCTGACGTTTTATCCCATTGGTTTAGGTGGGCTAACACCCGTAAGTAAATATTTTTTTTACAAAGCAATTTTTTTTAAACATTATTTAAGGAAGGGAAATATGGAGAATATGCATTAGGAAAATATTTTAGAAAATATTATGGACAATTTTTGGGAGAAACATATTCAGAAAAAGATATTTTCGTTAGAAGTACAGACTACATTCGTACGAGGATGAGTGCACAATTAGTAATGACTGGACTTTTTCCGCCAAAATATAAACAAACTTGGCACCCTGAAATAAACTGGCAACCAATTCCAATTGATTACAAGTTAAGAACTGCAGATGATTTTTTGCATAGAAGACATAATTGCCCATTTTTTGAAACTGCAACCGAAGCTATGGATAACATCATTGAAATAAAAAAAAAGTACATTGAACCTCATTCTGAATTATTCGAGTTTTTACGAAAGGAATCTGGATTGTCTATAAAGAACCCTTATGCACTTTTACAGTTTTACTTTATCTTGAATACAGAGGTGGAATTTAACCTTATAATATTTATATTTGTTTAATTATTTATATTTTTAGTCGGAAATGAACCTAACCCTTCCAAAATGGACAAATAGTATATTTCCAGATAAAATATATAAACTTTCCGTAGCAGCTTACGAATACCAAAATTTTATTCCAGAAGTAAGAAAAATAAATTCAGGATACTTATTTAAGAAAATACTTCAAGACGCTGAAACTAAAATGACTGATACCGAAAACAAGAAATCCTACAAAGCCTTATTTTACTCAGGTCATGAAATAACCATTGGATTTATGCTTAATGCACTTGGTGTTGATCAAAACAGCATTCCCAAATATAGCAGTGCGCTCATATTTGAGTTACGAAAGAAAAATAACTCATATTTCATAAAGTTACGCTATCGTAAGAATATTAATGATAACGAGCCTATGAATCTTAAGGTTCCAGGATGTGATACATTATGTCCGATTGAACAATTTAAAAAGTTGTATGAAGAATTATTGCCCATTATATCTATGGAAGACGCATGCAGACAAGATTATACAAGTAATCATTTAAAATAAAACATATGGACCTATAACTCATTTTATACAGTTTTATTTATGTATTATTTATTAATTACTTTTATGTACAAAATAAGATAAATATATTAAATATATTTTTTTAGTCCACCACATTTGTGTAAATCGAAATTAAACATTGCCCTTAAAATACATACACATTATGTTATATAAGGTTATGTTAGACACAGTAGCGTGCCTTGTAGGGGGCCACCCAAGCAACCATTTTAATCCAAATAAACTATTTTGACCTTATGTAAGGCAGTTGGTCTTTTAATAACACCCATGTTAGAGACAAATTAACGTTACAGTTACGTAGTATTGTAGAAAGTGGAGAAACAAATAAAGTAGACAAAGGCATTGTAACCACGACTGTTATTGCAAAGTTGCCTAATTTTAAGTTGATGAGAGACAAAATAGTGGTTACCTATAACCAATTATTAACTTGTAAGTCATTTTAATTTAAAATATATCTTCAAAGTCCTTTTTTTAAATCAGTATTTTAAGTTACCTATGGGTTGGGTAAAGTAGACATTTGTCTACTTTACCCAACCCCTTACTTAAAATACTGATTTAAAAAAAGGACTTTGAAGATATTGTAACCACGAATGTTATTGCAAAGTTGCCCAATTTTAAGTTGATAAGAGACAAAATAGTGGTAACCTATAACCAATTATTAACTTGTAAGTCATTTTAATTTGATCCTACTCTTTGCTATTTGGACATCGTCAAAATAATTTAAAAAATTCTACAAGTGTACAAACACAATTAGGACCATAAATATATCTTTAAAGTCCTTTTTCTAAATCAGTATTTTAAGTTACCTATGGGTTAAATTACTGTGTGGATTACATTTTTTCTGTTAAAAATCACTACCGTAGCGCTAAATAGTAGAAGCGCCCTTAAAAACTATTTTGTTTAATTTTTGCTAATTTGTAATTTTCCTTATTTTGTTTTATTGAGAGCTGAAACGGTGGGTTTTCAGTTCGTTAGTTAAGAAAGTAGTACAGAACCCAATTTTCAAACAATTGTTAAAGACATTTATTTTTTCCTTCGATACTTTGGTGTGATATGTAATGGTTGTCTGAAAATGTGGCGATTTTTACGCACTAAACTTACAAACATAATTGGCCTGAGTAATATTTTGACCTGTAAAATAAATTTGCTTAATGTTCAGTTAAAATAACTAAAATTACTGCCTATGTAGTCGAAATGTCTTAAATAGGAAATAAATACTTTATGGTTAAAAATAGGACAATATTGAAAAATTGCTTATTGAACTCGCAATATTTATTCCTCACTTAACACATTTCGACTACAGAGGCAGTAACTTTAGTTATTTTAACTTAACATTAAACAAATTTGTATGGTTAAAAATATTATTGTACATTTGACCTCATAGTATCTGTACTGTACTGTATTTGGGTTTGAAATAAAACACTTTAATATTATTTAATACACAACCGTATTCTGCCGCTGACTGCAATCTAATGAACAATAACAATCTTTACTTGGTGTCTCATGATGAGACTCTCATCACGTCAGTTACATAATAGGCTAATGCATGATTTATTGTTTAACAAATCACATACATTACATCTCTCCCTTTTTATAATTTTTTAATAATATATAATTCCTTAATTAATATTAATAAATCTAAACATTAAGTATTAAATAAATCTACACATTAAATTATTAAATAAATGTGAATATTTGAGACAAACTTATTTTCAATCTAGGTACACCTACCTTTATAACAAATTAATACCTATCTATAAATAAATAATTGAATATGATTATTAAGTTACAATTCAGAAAAATACAATACTTATATTATATAATTAATTTTCTTTTAATTAACTTCTGGGGATTTCAGTAAACTCTTATTTTGTTTTTCCAAACTAGAATTTTCATTTAGGCATTTCCATTCCCCTTCTACCTTTTTTAAGTGAACAATGTTTCGTCGTACTCCTTCGCTCGTTTCGTCGTTCTTCAGTTGTACATCTCCACCGTTTTGACTTACGACAGTGTGTGTGACTGGATTAAAAGTAGGTGTTATTTTGTTTTCTTTTACTAAATTCTTTAAGTACACTTTGCTCCCTGGTAGTAGCTCTGTATCAGTAACTTTCCTTTTTCTGTCTGCATATATTTTTCCTTTTTCCTTTTCTATTTTATCTTTATCTCAAATTTCCTCGTATGCATATTCTGTGTCTTGAACACTTGGTATTTTATCACGAAATAGTCTCTTGAAAAACAACTCAGGTGGTTTCCCAGTGACTGAATGGGAGCTGACTTATTTTTAATCGTTTCAAAATATCGCGGTTTTGTCTCTCCACCTCTCCATTTTGTTGTGGCCAATATGGTATACTGTGGTGTATTATAATTGCCCTTTCTTGGCAGAATTCTTTCATTTCTCGGCTTGTAAATTGGCGGCCATTGTCTGCTGTGATCGACAGAGGATTTCCATGACGCGAAAAGATTTCTTTCAGTGTTTTAACTGTAAATGTTGCTGATATGTCTTTAGTAATTTTTATTTCCTTGTAACGACTGAAATAATCAACGATTACAAACAAATGCTCCCCACTTGGTAAAGGGCCCATGAAGTCTATGGCTACGTCAATCCAAGGGGCCACCGGAAGTTCTCTTCTTTTAATAGGGTTTGGGGTGTTTGGTGCCGATACTAACGTACATCCCTTACAAGCTTTTACCATATTTTCTGCTTCTTTATCTATATGTGGCCACCAAACTTTCGTTCGGAGCCTATTCTTCATTGCCACGATACCTGGATGGCCTTCATGGGCTGCCCTTAACACCACTTCCCGAAGTTTTTTTGAAATTACAATTCGGGTACTTCTTAGTAGAATGTTATCACAGAAACATAACTCGGTTTCTAAGATTTTAAATTGGTTTACAGTATCATCCCAATTTCCAGAAATTAGTCCTTCTCGCACTTTTTTAATTTCTTCATCTTCTATTGAATATCTTTTTACTTCTTTCAGTGGTGTTGCTACAGGACGGGAAAATTCAGCAATTTGTCGAACGTGTTCATCAAAATTTTTGTTGGGGTTATTGTATCCCACACATAATCGAGACAGGGGATCTGATATATTAGTTTTCCCTGGTTTGTAGACTACTTTGAAATTGAATGACTGTAATCTCAATACCCATCTTTCTATTCGGGCACATGGTTTCGACTTGGGATTAAAGATTGTCTCCAATGGTTTATGGTCTGTTACTAAATCAAAAGAGTCTTTCCCATACAAATAAACTCTAAAGTGTTCAACGGCCCAGACTAGTGCGAGTGCTTCTTTCTCCGTTTGGCAATACCTTTTTTCACAGTCGGTCAAACTTTTGTTTCCAAAAGCAATAATTCGCGGTCATTGATCATTGATCTAAATTAGTACTGCCCCTAATCCCACTGGGCTAGCGTCGGCCATGACTTGTGTTTTCTCGTTTGGATCATAGTATCCCAGTGATTTAATGTTTGCTAAACATTTTTTCAATGTATGGAAAGCATCATTTTGTTGAGAACTCCAATACTTCTCCACAGAAGCTTGTTTGGGTAACTTTAAACGTAGCAACATCCGAAAAGGCTCCGTTAATGTTGCCAAATTTGGAATCCATTTACCCACGTAATTTATTAATCCCAGAAAACTTTGCATTTCTTCAATAGTGTTGGGTTTTCTAAAGGATAGTATGCCTAACACATAAGATTTAAGAGGTGTGACTCCGTTTTTTGTCAAGGTATGTCCGATAAAATTTATTTTCTCCAGCCTGAATTGACACTTACTTTTATTTAGAAGTATGTTATTTTCCTTTAAAATTTTAAGGGTCCTTTGTAATCGCCTATCATGTTCTTCTGCATTCTTCCCAAAAATTATAATATCTATCATCTATAAAATTTCGGGAACCTTCACAACTCGTAAGCAACTTCTCCAGGGTTTTTTGAAAAAGTTCTGGTGCGCATGTTATCCCAAACATTAATCTCTTATATCGGTATAAGCCTTTGCTGGTTATAAATGTTGTTATGTGGCGACTATCAGGTGCTAGTTCCAACTGATGAAATGCATTTTTTATGTCTAATCTAGAGAAAATGTTAGCGTCCTTAAAATGCAACGCTTGCATGATACACGAATCGTGGCGGTTAAATAAATCTCTAATTGATAAAGATCATGAGGATCAAACTCTCCAAGAAAAATCCTTCTGGTGCAAAGTTCTTGACCGAATCATGAATATAATTCTCACCTTGGCTACATGCAACTTTTTATTTCGAGGACATCGCGAGGTCATTGGTGATTCTGGAATTAATGGAAACTTTTTATCAATCATTGAATTGCTGTTGATATATGACCCTGTTTTGAAAGAACTCATTACAAAACCTGATAATTCCATTCGATACCTGAGCCCTAAAATACAAAATGAAATAATTGGCATCCTATCTAGGATTGTAAAAGATGAAATCATCAAAAATATCCAAGAAGCGCCATTTTTTTCCATCATAACGAATACAACTCAAGATATAGCTAAAATTGACCAAATGAGTCAAATATCTCAGGCAAATGTTTTACTCGAGGAAGCGTATCAAGAACTACGACAATTCCGAAATGACTACGCAGTAGTGCAAAATTTTCTAATAGTTTTTAGTTATTGTATTACCAAAGCACGCTTTGTGATGGAACTGTATTTTATTTTCCTTTTCTAACAATAGGGTATTGCATTTATTTATTAAGTTAAACTAATGGTAAGCGCAATAATTTTATTATACTATTTTAGGCTCGCAGACTATTACTTTCGTTTGATAGATTGGGGTGTTAAGGTTTATTTGTTTGTTTATGTTAGATCAGTAATTGGTTTCGTGTGTTACCTACTTAAGATTTATGTATTTATTGACTTTCAAGTCACGTCCTTTGTTCGGATATGCTTGTTTTTTAATTTTTAAGTCGAACTTGCTTTTGCCGTATAGGCATATATAAAATACCTATAGGTATTTTTTTGGTCTATTACGATGTTGATTTCATATTCC